TGGTGGTTACAAAATGGTGATTTTATCAAAGCCTTCTTCGTGTATTAGCAAGAATACTTCTATCTAAAGGTAGTTCCCTAGCAAACCATTTGGTTAATCTGATGAACAGTTCTTACGTGGCAAATGTTTCATTTTTACCTTTCACTATTTCTCAAAATAGTGAGTGGATTCCTTAGCATTCTCCAAAGGCGATTATTAAAAAAAAGACATAATTTACATGCCATCGAAATCACCATTTTAAGGTGGTAAATCTAACATCACGCACCTGTAATTCAGGAGGTAAAAACAGGCAGGTTGTGAGTTCCAGGCTAACCTGGGCTATCTAGGGGAACACTATCTCAAAAACCCAGGGGCTGGGGATGTAACTCAGTTGTAGAGGGCTTGTCTGAGGATCTAGGTTTGAGCCCTGTTATTGAAAAAGAAAACCTCCCCAAAGTCACCTAGAATTTACTAGTTTTTTTTACACTTTTACTGAGTTGTGCAAGCATCACCACTAGTTGGAAAGCCTTATAAATTCATGAACATATCTGCAACAAGCTTTTTTTTCTATCCTACCAGCCAGATCCCAAACAATGACACAAAGACTTTGTATTAATTATGACAGCCCAGCTTATAGCTTAGGCTTGTTCCTAACTAGCTCTTATAACTTAACCCATTTGTATTAATCTATGTTCTAACACGTGGCGTTACCTTTCATATCTAGTCTATTTCAATCTACAGAAGTTAGTATTCTTTTGGTGTTCAAATTTTCTGAACTTTAGCTGGCTAGAATCTTTGGACTGGCCCCTGAGACCTTTCTCCACACAGCTGCTAAGCTTGGACACTTTCTTTTGTTGCTTTCCTGGTAGAAGATGTTCCTGGCACATCGTGTGCTTTTCTATTCTTCCGTCATTTCTCTGAGCCCAGATTTCTCCAGTGTGAAAGAGCAGTTGAAATCTGGGCTCCAGGGCTGCGGATCACTGCCTTTTGTCTCTAGGCCGCTGTCTTGGTCTTTCCTTCTTCAGTGGGGCTAGTTGGTTCGGCCCTGTGATTTAGAATCCACGAGGTAGAGTTTAGGCATTGGTGAGGTTCAGGAATTATGCATCTTAGTTAACTAATGATTCATATGAGAAGCATTGCTTGAAACATCACCTACTTGTCAGTCATGATTTTAAAATTTCTTTCCTTGAGGAAGGCACACAGCTTGGAGATCTAAAAATTCTTACTTGGCATTAATTATAGCCAATTGCTCGAACTCTTACAGAAGATGCAACTTGCTCATGTTAAGCATAAGGACAGTATAAATAAATTTAAGAATCAGGTGTCAGAAAAGCAGTTCTTTTTTATAGGGCCCAATCAGATAGAAATATAGCTTTTCTAGGGGAAATTTAAAAAATTGAAACATGGGGTTCTAAAATAAATGCATCATCACAACTTTATTCAAGCAAGTCTATATTTACTCATAAGCCAGCAATATATCATCTTCTGTTTGGATTTCTATTAGTGATAGACGTGGGGTACAAATCAACAGCTTCTTGTTGCTCTAATCTTTCTCTGGAGAAATGATGAACGGTCTTGCGTGGCTTCTGGCTCAAGCACCTATAAATATGTCAGAAATTCTATGATTAAACCATCCGCAAAACCTTGAGTGGATTTTTAAAAAACGTCCATGAACAGCTCTGAAGGAACACATATGTGTTAGCACACTGTCAGAATCCTTTTGACTGCTTTGAAATCGGCCATTTTCCATTACTACTATAGGCGCCCAGTTTCTTCAGAGAAAAGGTCCTCTTATTTTGTGTTTACTTAGCTGAGAGCTAATGTAAATGGAATGAAAGCGCTTTGAGACTGTATTTTCGTTAGTTGTTTGAGATAGTCTCTGTCTAGCCCCTTCCTGCCTCAGCCTCTGCATTTTTGAGATTACCAGCCTGCCCCACCATGCTGGGCTGTCAGGAGCTTTTTCATCATTCCACACAGCCTCCTTTTTAGAAGTTCTGCAAAAGTAACCGGTGCGTCCTTGCTGCTCCCTTTCACCAAGATCCTCTGCTCCTCTTAGCCAGAAGGCAGAGAAGTGATGCCCACGAGTCTATAGTCATCAACACCATTAAAAATTAAGTATAAGGTGTCTGGTGCTTAATCACCCAAGGCTGGAGTAACAAATTCTTTCAGTAATTTTAGGTACATTCAAGGTTCGAGTGTACTTTCAGGAATGATGTAGTTTTTTGATGATAGTTCACCTCCTCCTTCTTTTTGGATGCGGTTCTGGCTACCAAATCCAGGACCTTGCATATGATAGACAAGTACTTTCATACCCCGTTACTTTCCCTGTTTTGAAAATTCAAATACATATACATGTGTGTGTGTGTACACATTTGACTTTATTTGTGCAATCATTAATAGGATTCTAATTGTGCTTTAATAGAAGTATATCTAATTTAAACAATAAAACTAGGCTATCCTTTCCCTTTTTCCATCAAAGTTAAGTTTCTTTATACATGCCAATTTATCTGAGGGCTCTTTGACACTGTCAGTACCCAATAACTTGTGTGATCTTGTAAATTAAGGTGGCATCTTCTCTTCTTTATTCTCCTTGGACACTCCTTTCTTAAGTGCTTAGCAGCTTCGAGAGTAGTTGCTGGTAATAAGGGCAAACCCGAGAAGAATGCTGACCTCTGCTTTCTGTTTTGAACCTGATGTTTATGGTTGTGTGGCTGATGTAGAGATTCCCTTCTGGGCGAACCTAGTATTAAGGGGAGGCCCTTATAAAGTCTTTAAACACTGGTTATCATTTTAAAAAACTATATTAATGTGACCCCATAAGCTACCTTACTGCCTGCCTCCCCCACCCCACCCCAGATGAGGTCTCTTTATTGGTGAGGCTGGGCTCCAGGACGTACACTGAAAGAATCCTTCCTTTTCAGTTTCCGGAACATCTGGAAATGCAGTGCCTGCCTGCCAACTTTTTTTTTCCCCAACTTTTTGAGATGGTCTTTCTGTGTAGTCCAGACTGGCCTGAACTTTTGATTTTCCTGTTTCAGACTCCTGAGTGCTGAGATTAAAGGTGTGTGCCGTACCTGATTGTTTCTCGCTTTTTTTACTTGAAGTAATCTTGCTTAGTTTTATTTTTAGATGGCTACAGCCTGTATCACAGCCTGAAGGAATTTTCTGTAAATGATGAAAATTTGTGTGGTGGCAGGAAGCTAAAATCCTGAGAAGAAAATGACTATCTGGTTACTATATAGATCTACTAGATTCTAGTAGACTTTCAGGAAAAAAAATTGTTGGAACCCTTCACAAATTTATGCCATCCTTGCTTAGGGTCCATACTAATTTCTGTTCCAGTCTTAGTACAATTCTACCTATGAGAGTGCCTCCACCAGTAGTCCAGTCTGGCCTGGAACTTGCCGAAATCCTCTTGCCTTGGTTTCTAGATTTTGAGGATTACAGGTTTGAGTTACCACGCCTGTCTCGGCGGTAGTTCTTAGACTACACGTTTCCCCTTTTTAAAGCTTTTTATGATTGTAAGATGGAATTAAAATATATGACCTCGTCGGCGGTAGTGGCACACGCCCTTAATCCTAGCACTTGGGAGGCATAGGCAAGCGGATCTCTGTGAGTTCGAGCTCAACCTCTTCTACAGAGCTCAAACTGCTACACAGAGAAACCCTGTCTCAAACCCCCCACCAAAAAAATCCACCCCCCAAAAACAAAGCTCTCCGTGTTTAAAGTCATTTCTCAGTATGTCAGTAAGTTATAGCATGTTAGTTAAATTCTACATTGATGTACACCGTTTTCCTGGCAACTTTTAAGTGTCGTTTTAGTCCGTATTTCAGTATAGGACTGTAACATAGGTTGGTGTGGTAGCGCATGCCTTTAATCCTAGTGCTCGGAAGGAAGGCAGAGGTTAGTGAATCTGAGTTCGAGGCCAGCCTGGTCTACAGAGCAAGTTCCAGGTTAGCCAGGACTACACAGAGAAACCCCGTTTTGAAGGGGGGGCAGGGGGAAGAAATGTACCATTACAAAATTCTTATTTTATAAATAATTTTATAAATATTTTGTCGAATCACATACATTTTCCCTTCTCTATTTTCTTAAACTTTAAGAGACTTGCTTACGAATTTTATTTAAAAAATCTTGTTTTCTAGATATTTCTGGAGGAATGTATGACATGATCACTGCCACATAAAAGTAAAAATTTATACACTCCAAATAATGTAACACACGTGTCCAGAAACTATACCACTAAAAATTCCTGTTCACTGCAGTGTGAGAAAGTCTTCAAGATGCACTCCCCCCAGACCAATGTGGCCTCCTGACAGAAAGCTTATTTATTAAAAAAAAAATACCAGGGTTTGGTAGTTGTTTTAGAGACCCCCCTCCCCTCATTCAAATTGGCAAGCCCATTTTCATTTTGTTTCAAAGTTGTTTTTTAAAAGGAAGACAGGAGACGGCGGGGGTTGCTAAATTTATCTTCTTCCCCAGGCACCGGGGATGGAAAAAAAAAAACCACATTTATGGCGGGAGGGGGTCTGAGGGCCTGCAAACGACTCGAGCCACCGCCTCAGGCCAGGACCCTCGCGGAGAGGCAGTAGGTCTCCCTGGAGGCCCCCAGGGGGTGGTTGCGGCCCACAAACATGGTGGGGGGCGGCCCGGGCCTCCCGCCTCTCTACGGGGTCGGCGGACCACGGCCTCGTGCGGACTTTACAGCCCAGGCAGCGGTGGCAGCGGTGTGTGTGTGGCGGCGGTGGAGGGCGGGAGCGCGGAGGTGGAAAGAAGGGGGGCGCTGTCACGGAAACTCGGGCCGTCGGAGACCCCGCCGCAGCGAGTCCACTGGGCTGCCCGGTTGTGGGGCGTGAAGGGCGCCGAGTAGGGGTGTCCTAGGCACCCACCGGGCGGAGGAGGGGGCCCCTCTATCCTTCCGCATTTTCCTGGGTCTCTCTCCCGGTGGTGACGTGACGTGCTGACGGCGGGCCCGTGCCGGGGAGCTGGGCCGCTTTTTGTCAGCTCCGAGCTCGGCCCCTCCGCCCGCCCCACCAGCCGGAGCCCGGCCCAGTGCTCCAGAGAAAGGCCGGCCTGCAGCACCCGCCACCGTCGCCGACCGCCGCACGCCCGTCCGGTGAGTCCGGGGTGCCGCTGCTGCCGTGGGGCCTAGCGCGCGCGCCGGCGGCCTGGTCCCGGCCTGGTCGGGCGGCCTGCAAGGCGCCCTCCCGCGCTAGGCCGGGCGGCGTGGCGCGCAGCGCCGTGCAGGCCCGGAGGAGGCCGCAGTTAGGCCTGGGGTGGCGCCCGGGTGTGGGGAGCGACGGTTGAGGCGCGCTCCGTAAACGGGCGGCGGCCGGGGCGCTGTTGCCCAGAGGTTGGGGAGGCGGCGGACGGGTCCTAGGTGGGCGACGCGGCCGACCCGGGGCACCGTGCGGGGGCGAGGCCTAGCGAGGAGGCTAAGGCTGCAGGCGTGAGGTGAAGGCCGCAGGCCGGGCCGGCCGATTTTCGCTATGTAAATATGGGCGAGGGGGGGCAAAAAGACGGACGGGGGACAAGATGGCGGCCGCTCGGCGCCTGCTGCAGGGGACGACTGAGGGGGTTGCCGGGAGGGGGAGCCGCCATCTTGAAGGCGGCGTCTGAGGTGAAAATTCCGCTACAGCCCGTGAGGGGGGGTGGGAGAGCGGGCAGCGGCCGCGGCGGCGCTGGCGACGGGCACCGGAGCCCGGGCGCGGCGTCGAGTGTGCGCGGAGGGGCGTGTTCGTTCCCCATGGCGGCCATTGCCCTCGCCGCCATGATGAACACTCGGATTCCAGGCGCTTGGCGGCAGCGCCACCTTCCTGCCCAGCCTCCCACAGCCCCGTGACTGGCTGCTGTTTCCGCTGCATTTCGGCTCAGCAGCCGCAGGCGGCCTTCGCGGTCGCCTTGGCGCCAGAGCCACCTCATCTGTTTCGCTCCGGGACTCTGAGCTCTTGCCGCCGCCGCCGGTGAGCTGCACCGGTGACAGTCGCGAAACGGGAGACATTTTTATTGTTTTGTTTTGTCCCCCCCCCCCAGAGACAGTCAGCCATGGCCGTTAGGGTGACCCCAATGCGGGTGTTCTCCGCCAATCGTTGCATTCACGAGTCCGTGAATAAAGAAAGAAAAACGATGGGAAAGTTCTCACCACCCTTTTGACCAATAGGGGGAAAAAGGCGTCCTACGAAAGCGGAAGACTTAGTGGCGGAGGGAAGTTTTGGTATTCCTTTCCGTGGAAACAAGTTGCTGGGGAGGCTGCCTTTGAAATTTTGGTATCTCCTTTATTTATTTTAGTTGAGGGAACTAGGAGGGAAGGGAGCGAGTCTTCTGGAGCAGTGAGTGCCGTACCCCCTAGCGCACCTCACGTGCCGGGCTAGCTAGGGTGTCCGTGAAGTTGGGTAGCGCGCGGCACGCGACTCGGGGAAAGTTGTCTCCATCGCACCGCACCCAACTTTCTTGGGAAGCTCGGAGTGAGTCCCGTGTTAGCGGTGCCGCTTTCCGACGGGGCGCCGGGGCCGCAACCCCCCCCCCCGAGGTTCGCGGACGGACGTGCTGGCTGCAGGTTGGTGGAGGCAGGCGAGCGAGGGCTGGCGTGCGCCGAGCGCCTCCGAGTTGAGCTGAAGCTCCGTCCGAGCCCCGTGGGCTCCCAGCGAAGGCACAGCTTCCGTTTGAGGCGTCGGGAGGGGGTGCCTGGAACAGGGGCCGCTTTGAGCTTCCGAACCGGGGCCGTTTTTAGGTGGTGGCCCAGAGAGGCAGAGGGCGTTTCAAGGGGGAAGTTTCTCCAGGGAACGTTGAGTGTTTTCACTATTGGCCTGAAGCGGACAGCCTAGGTAGGAGTGGTGGGAACTGAGGCTGCGAGAGGTGGGCCGCGCCTTGCTGGGCGGGAGGGTTTTGTGCCCGCAGGGGACGCAGCAGGGGCGCCCTCCCTCGCGGGGTCGGTGCTCAAGAGCGTTTGGCTCGGCTAGGATAAGTTGCAGAGAAGTAGTTGTAGGTTGACCAGTGTTTTCCCGGCGATGATGAAGCCAGAGTGCTCAGAAGCCAGGTTTTTTTACCCTCTTAAGAGATGTTTATTACATTTTGAATGATGTTTTCGTCAGACAGCTGCCCTTTTCTTTACTCGCTGTGAATATCGTTTTGCTCAGAGCTGTTAATATTTCCGTGGTAAACTGAGGAGGGTTTCCTGTAATCTCATCCACCATCGTTGAAAATTAAGATTGGTGCAGCTTGAAGATGAGAAATGAGCCTGTAAGTGTTTCTATGGTAATTTTTTTAAGAAGTCGGTTTTGAAGAGTAGCTGGAAGGATGATTATTAAAACCAGTGGCCTTCAGGTGCCCTTTGCAATCTGTTTTTTCTCCCTGCTGAGAGGAACCACCGTTTTGTTTGAGAGGCTAACTAAGGTTATTTGCTAAGCCAAGCCTCCCTGCGGTTTTTTTTTTTTGGATTAATATTTGACTTATCTAGACGCACAGGTGGGAAGTGTGTTTCAGAATTTTATGATACAAGCTTGTGAGTTGCGTCGTTATTGTCAGTGTTTCCACTTTTGTAGACAGCAACAGGTTGGAAATAATGCTCCTGAAGAGCGTGGAAGACCTGGGACAGTTTTTCCATAGAGGCCATGGCAAACTTAATAAAGATAATAAAGATAATAAAGATAACTTATCTTGAGCCTGACATGCCATTTGCCCTGGCACTGGGAGGTGGAGGCAGGCAGGTGGACTTTTGTGAGTTCGAGGCCATCTTGGTCCACATAGTGAGTTCCAGGACAGCCAGAGCTACATAGTGAAGCCCTGTCTCAAAAAAAATCACATTTGAAAAATTCTCTTAAAAGGCAATTTAAGATGCAGTTTTTGGGTGTGTGTGTGTGGGAGAGCAGTCAGAATGGGTAATATATAGTGTGCAATTGTTGAGTTTAATTAGTACAGTCAAGCAGTTCTTTATAGTGGGTATTTGAGGATTGAGAAGAAATTAATTTCAAATTGTGTAATTAGGAAGATTGGGAATGTATAGTTTTCATCAGGAGTGGTTACACACAAAGTCCTTTTCCCTGCTGAGACACTTCCTACCTTACCCACCTTGGATAAACGAGATGCTTTTTTATATATATGTATTTTCCAAATAGATGGATATTTTCTTTCCTTTTTTTTGCAATTTCCATTTTCCAAAAAAAAAGTGCTGGAGTTTCCTTTCAGAGACATTCCCCTGTATTGCTGCTGTCAGTCACCAACATTTGGACTTGATTTATCACTAATAATGCACTGTTTGTGCTTGTGTACAGGGGCAGTTCATTTTATTATAACCTAAAAAACCCTTAACTGGCTCCTGAAATCCTTCACCCTCATCAAAGGTTTCATTTTTGTTTGTTTTGAGAGCCAGTCTAATTAAGTAGCTTAGTTAGCTTCAATTTCCCAATTCTCCTGCCTCAGCCTCCTAAGTGCAGGGGATTCAGGCGTGTGTGTTGCCACAAATGGCTTAGATTCTTTTTTTTTTTTTATTTTATTAACCTAACTGAAAAGGCTAACCCAGTTATCTGGTTGTCAGTGTGTCATCCTGTTCTGATTTTTTTTTTCTCCGTGTAGGCTTTTCTCTTTACCTTTTGTCTCTGTAAGGATTGCCTTATTTTGTCTAGCCTTGCCTCCTGCACACACCTTGGTCTGCCTCCTTTGGGGTGGACCTCTGCTGATTGAGTCCCTTTCTGGTTTATTTTAGCCTATTTGTTTGTTTGAGACACCAGGGAGCCTCGATCTCAGCTGCCGCTCCTTCCCTGTACAGGGATTAGCCTTCCAGATACAGTCTCCTGCAACTTAGCTCGTGCCTTCCTGGTCCTTCAAGTAGTCTTGGTTTTGCTTACTGTACAGAAGCCTCATCTCTTTTCTCGTTTGCTTTATGTACTACTTTTCACTTCACCTTTTCCTAAATCCAATAATTCCCAAGTCAGAAAATTTCTTCGGCATGCCAATGGGTTTGTCACACGAAAGGGTTCTTTTTCACACATTACTCTGCTGTCTTTGTCTCCTCAGTGTTTATCAGCTAGCTTCTCTCTGGAATCTTGTCTGCTAGTTCAATGTCTGTTACCATGTTCACATACCTAGTTTCTCATCCAGCGTTTGAAGTGTCTAATGTCTTAACATAGCTGAAACCAAACTTACCCAGCATAAAGATGACCAATACCATTTATAGGAAATTTTTTTTGAGACAGGGTTTCTCTGTGTGTCCTGGAACTCACTCTGTAGACCAGGTTGGCATTGCACCCACAGAGATCCTCCTGCCTCTGCCTCCCGAGTGTTGGAATTAAAGGTGTGTGCCGCTGCCGCCACCTGGCTTCTTACTCTTTCTGTTATCACCATCAGTTTTCCTGGATTGTTACACTTTGTTCCATAGAACAATGTGGACATCTTTAATTTAGCATTTAATTTTTTATGTTTTAGTGGTATATTTGTATTTTTGTCTTCTAAATAGAATGTAGAAGAGATAGCTTCTCATTTGTCTTTGTCCCCAAGCAGTACCTGGCAGATGTTCATTATCTCCCCCAAACAATTACCTAAATTATTGGGCACAGTAAATTTGGTTTATTTAAGTTGAATAGTTTCCAGCTATTCAAATTCAGTTATCTATCTAGCATGTCCTTTGACCAAGGAATATTCATTTTAAGGCACACCTATCTTGTGAGGACAGCAGGTCAAACCCAGGTGCTGAGTAACCTCTATCCCTATCCCAGATCTGATTGGAATATGGCCAGCATGCTCTTATTCCTGCCAAATTGTTTTTCCAGACAGCATTTTTTAAAATCCATGTAATCTTAACCCCCCCTTTTTTTGTTCAGCAGGAAGTACACTTAAAGAAACTACATGGCCTTGATGTATATAGTCATTTGTCTTTTAAAAATTAAAGTTTTAAATTATGAAGTATTTCAAAATTACGAAAAGTAAATATTAATGAGAGTTTACAAATTTTAGTGTGTTATGTTATTTGATACACACACATGTTTGATGAATAGTCTAACAGATTCAAGGGCGCATCCCCCTTCATCCCCATTTCTCTTTTTTAATATCCCCATTACGTTGCTCTAATATGTGTGTAATGAAAAAATAGCAAATATGTGTTTTAGCTGTCTATTGTGGATT